GGGTGGAGAGTATTTTCCAGCAGCTGGTTAGAGTAAAATGAAACCATTCAGTGCTACTCTGAACACAAAAAGTGAAAGCTGGGAATTGAACATCATGATTTTGCACAGTGAAAAATGAAGTCTATTAGGCAACTGGAACAATCTAAAGCACAAGAAATTAGAAAATTCAGTATAAAAAATGTTTTAGCTATGTACGTTTAGGAAGATTGCATATAACTATCTGTGTCACACTACTGACACTGCTTTCAGATCTTCTGGAAAATTACTTATTTTTTTCTGTACAGTAAATGAATGCAATTAATATTTTTATGTATGGATTTACATCCATATACATACACATCGGTTTAGAATATCTTGCAATTATATATTCACCATTGAAAATATCCTCCTGAATTCTGATAACATCAAGAATTAAAATAAACATATCACATTTTATCTTTGATTATGAGATGGGTAAATACGCTACTTTATGCTGTGAAATATTCTGGGACTTGTGAAAAATTGTATCTGTAGCTAACCATGAAAATCATAAAGCTTTAAAAATATCTAATAATTAAATGTTATTTCAAATACCTCTTCTAAAAAACATGAACTCCTTTGTGTTCAAAAATTTAAATTAATTGAAAGCATGTTTCTTATACATTTCTATTTAGAAATAAAAGTTTCATACTTTCATGTTTCTAGGTTGTGTGAAAAGTTAGATATAGCTTTCTAAAACCAGACCTTATAAAATGCCTTTGCAATGATGATGTGTTTTCCTATAAGTACCCTGTTTAAAAAAAAAAGAAATGAAGATTCAAACTTGTGTTTGTTACTGCGAGTCAGGACAGAGTTCCTTATTACTGAAAATCTAAATAATTGAGTGACTTATAAATATCTTCTAAATGTCCATTTCTGGGAACTGAAAAGAAAATGGCTTCATTCTCTTCACATGTTTTCTCCTCTTGCCACTCATTTTGCACTGAAGTTAAGCTTTACTAAAGTAACTGCAAAGTGCGCAATATATGTAGCAATTTAAAAATTATCTTCTACAGTTTGGCCATCTGAAAATAATTAAAAACATTAATGTTTATGAAATTTCTCATTAATTTAATTCAGGCCTTTTACAAAATCAATGGATTGAGGTAGTCCAGAACTCTGCATTAACAATTCCAAAACTACCTTTGTCCACTTATTACAGTGTGAAAAAGTTGGTTTATTATACTAATGTACCTACCTTGTGTGCATCACTCCTTCATTTCAGCATACCTGCACAAGTGCTATAAGCCTAAAATATTTTTTTACAAATGAGGTTTGCACCCCCTGGATTATGAGGTTGCATTATATTAAGCGGATGAGAGTTCTGGTCTTAGGTCTCTTACAACAGATTGCAGGTTTATTTGCTGGACTTTACCTAAATATAGGTGACTTGCTATGAATTTTTAAAGAAATGAGTAGCCTTATGTTTTCCCAAAAAACAAAATGAAGGCGCTTAGTCTCTGGAGACTTCCAATTACACTGTAGAGCAGCAAAAATGAGGCATTTGTTTTTTTACCACACACTCAGTTACTTTGTCAAATTTACAGATAAGAATGGAAAAACAAAGCAAAAGTCATTGAGAAACCATCTCAGATGTGTCCATACTCATCTGTTTTATTTTTACAGACTTAAAAATCCTCATTTCTGGATATGTACTTGAGAACCAAGGACATTAAATTTTCACTGAAAAAAAAACCTTCTCATTTTAGATTGTATTATTCATTCTTCCTGGTTGTCCCCCTCTCTTTTTAAATCCTAAAGCTTTTACATGCAATAATTAGTAAGAAACTACCAGCTGTAAGTCCTCCGGTCATTTCTAATTTCATTCAGAAGTCATGTAATGAAATTTTCTTGCAGGTAGTTGGTGGAATCTTGTGAATAATGGAGTTTTTCCAAGTTATAGGCTTATGCATATTGACCATCTATTACAGTGCACATTACATATATATTTGGAAGGGGAAAAAAAGTAGCTATAACAGTAGGCAGTAATGGCTGCTCTATAGAAAGGATTATTTTGGAACAATTCCAAAAATAATTGAATTCATATTAGATTCCTGAGTTATACACTTATGTTCAAAATTTCAGTTCTGAAAGCCTTAGAGATGCCTGAATTTAATAGAACTTCAGCTTTTTTAAGTCATTTATTCCATCCATGGAATGTTTTTCCCCTGTGCACTACTGAGCCCAACCAGCACCTGTCTCATGTTTAAGCATGGAGTGGATCCAGTGTCTGACAGTCTGAAAGGAGCCATTCTGGTACTTCGTGAAGACAAAATGAATCAGCTCTCTAGAGAGAAGTCGATGAAGTTTGCTTTTAAAGCATATCTGAGGAAGAACAGTAGTGCCTATTGCCCACTGTGTAATAAATGAAACTTATTCTTGGACTGGAAGGCTGTGGCAGCTCTCACATAGCCTGTATTGCCTTAGTAAGCAGTTGAGGAAGGCACAAGACTTAACCAAACATAGCAGATAACACAAGCTGGATGGCTATTATGTTCATCCCTGGTTGGTACAGGGTACCCTAATCTTCAGGTTATACTTTATTCTAAACTGAGGGACATCACCCACATTTCTGGCTGTTCCTCTGTAAAGATACATTTTTTTTTTGGAATAGAGATATCAAGTTAACACAATGGTCAGCAGTTCTACTTGGATGAGGGTGAGGTTCTGTTATAGCCTCTCCAACAGTTTATTCTAGGTTAAGTTCTCTGAGCATCTCTACTGTCTAACCAACACAGGTCCTGGGTTGATGTACTATGGGGTAATGTTTAGGAACACCAAGCCCTTCTAGCATTAGGAAAGGGAGCCCATAAGCAATGCTGACAGCCTTTGATGGAGGACACTGCCTTAGGTCTTCTAATCCATCAACTAACTCACATCCCACAGGGATATGTGATGACCTAGCACACGATAACCCAGCACACCACCTGCCAACCCCATTGTCCTGTGCCCTACATACAATATGCCTCTGAAGGGCCTGTACTGCATGGGCACAGAGCATCTCATTTATAATAAAACTACAATGAATGAGATGTCAATTAACATGAACATGTCAGCCAGCACCCAAAACAAACAATTAATAAATCTTCACTCTCCTCTCCATGTGGACGTGGTAGTCTCAGAAGATGTCCGTGACCAGCACCAGGAAGCACCAACACAATACCAGGGTACTGATGATGAGCGAGAGAAGACAAAAAAGACAAACAATGCCTGCCTGTGTAGGCCCTTTATGTTTTTATCCTACACTGTAAAGCAAAATAATTGCTCTTTCCCAAAACATTTGCCCCTGTATTCAATCACTCAATCATAGAGCAGTTGAGATTGGAAGGGAATCCCAGGCAGTCACCTGGTCAGTAAGCAGCAGACACTACCCATCTCAAAGAAGAACCAAAAAATTTCCTTTTCAGCTCAGTTTCTCAGTGGACTTATGTTTCAGATCTGTTTTATGGCATCTGACTTTTCCAGGTACCCTTTCTGGAACCTTTGTGCCCAGCTCAGGAGCCTAGACACCACATTAGGAAATATGTAAAGATAATGAATATTATGAGGCTTAAGAAGTTTGCAGAGATTTGAAAATTGGTAGAGTTTTGCTATAATTACATTTCCTTCTTATTTTACTTCTGTTTCTATTATTTTATTGGCCTTTCTACTCTTTCATTAATACTTTCCCAAAGTAGGAATTTCATCTGCCAATCACAAAACACAAGGTTTTCTGATGAGAATTTTTATACTCCTGTATGTCAGTAAAGGCTTTTTGTGCATCTTATCATAACTGTCAGTCATTTATGCTTTCAGCATAGAAATACTTTAGTTTTAATTGCATTTACATTTAATAAGTGAGAAATCTTATGCAACTGGATGGGAATTAAACAGTTAATTGATCAGGATCTTAATTTTAAATTTTGAATGATGAACCATCACAATTTACCTAATAGCTGAACTGTATAGCTAATTAACAGATTTTCCAGAAACATTTTTGTATTATTTTCTGACAGAATTAATTAATAAAAATTAAATGCTAGGAAGACTTACATTCATGTACATAGAAACAGTGTAAGTTTAAAGTAAGTTTTAACAAAAGATGCGAGGTTAATGCAAAGTATAAGATGCATTGATTTTTAAAATAATTGATTTTTTTTTTTTATATTTTGAATATTAATATCATGATTTTCAGAGACTGAGTGATCAGCACTTCCAGGAAGCCAGGCCTTTTGCTAGTGCCTTGGTCTGGATGCCAAAATAATGACAACTATAATGCTTCATATTACAATACTGGTAAAAGAGATTATGTAAACCACAAAGTTCTTCCAAACACGAACTCCGGAATATTCAGCACATAGAGACTGGTCATTGTATTGCACATTGAAAACTATACACTGAAAGAAATTAATGAGAATTCCAAAACAGATGTATAAACTTCAGGAATGGAAAGCAGTGATTATTAAATGCTATGGAAGGAAATGATACCAAAAGTGGCAAGGATTAACCATTCTCAAATGACGTTCAGGCCCCATCAGAATGTTTAACCAGAATGTTTGTACAAGTGTAATTATTTTAATTAGTGATGTGGTTGTGAGAACATCTGAAAAAGAGGTAGCTTTGTTTTACTGTCGTTTTCTGGCTTTTGGATCACAATTCAATCTAGCTGAGTTAATACTTTCTGAAGAATGTTTACTCTGGCTCACATCTTATGAAAAAAAATATGCAGAAACTTCTAAAATCATCACGCCCACCTTCCAGCACTGGCACACATTGGATTGCATTATACTTCTCATCAAGTTATAAAGGTTGTGTGTTAATACAAAAGATAATTTAGCACTACTCCAATTAAAAAATTGTATCAGAATCTAAGAGGTTGGGAACTTTCTGAATGACAATTAAATACTGGTATGTTTAAAATGGTCCCTCTATAGTGGAGTATCTCTCAAAACAGCTGTGCTAAGTATCCTGCAAGGCCTGGCCCTGGTGAAATCAGGAAGCCATCAATCCTCTGCACTACTTCTTGAAATGCAGGGAGGTTCCTTCAGCTTCCTACAAATATGAAAGCACAAGATCTTCGGAGTGATGTCTTCAGGCCATGTTGTCCATAATTGTCACTCTCCAAAACCTACCCCTACCACCTCGTGATGCTACATACTCAGAGGTTCAGAACTCAAACAATACCTTTCAAAATAAAAAAAACCACATTGGTATGCAATCCAAATTTAATCACGTTTTCTTTTCTTCTAAAATGTAGCATGCTAAAATGAGAGAATACTGACAGTCAAATAAAAAGGAACTAAGACCCCATAATCATAATTTGATATTAAGTCACCATTGGTATTCTACATTCAACCTCTGTACTCTCCCATGTCTAATGTCCTAACAGTCACAAACACTACAGCCTATTACAAAACTTCATTTAAATTAAGAAGTGAGACAATTAAATAGTGAAGGGTTTTTTAAGCAACCCGAATTTCTTACCCATGAAGCATCAAGTACCTACACCAGTCACAAAATACTAGTATTCTCTCCCCTTTCTGGTAAATATTTTAGTTTCAGGGTTTTTCATTCTAAGCTATGATGAATTTGCAGGACAACTGCCTTGTGGAAACCAAAAAGAAAAATGTATATTGTGTAAACATGGTTTACATCATGCTGCAGCCTTCTCGACTAAGAATGGTGTGAATGGTTAAATTATGACAGGAAAGAGTGAAAGCAATTTTTTTTTTTTTGAGAGCTATGATGCAATCGTTTCATTTACAGGACTTTACCTTGAAATTCCAAGTGGTGAGGTTAGATGTTTGATTTCCAAGATTTTTGGATTCCTTTTCCTGAAGAGCAGGAAATTACCTTCTCTGAGACGTCACTTTCACTTTCTGCAGGTTTCTCACAGCCAGGTGTGCCTTCGCAAACAAAGCCAAAAAAAAAGGGTGGGGTGGAGCAGAAACACCTCTCCCACACACAGACACAAACAGAATGGGATCTTCTAGCACAAGGAATTTTTATAGTTCCATAGAAATACTGACAGTATTCAATTACCTCATTTTGAGAAAATGGGCTGCTGTTCCTCAGTCAAACCAGAAGAGGCCAAAACACAATAAAGACTATGGTTCTTATGATCAATAAATATTCCGTGAAATAATTTGCATTACTTAATTCTTTTACAAGTCTTTTTTGTTTGATTGCAAATACTTTAATTAGAAACATGGCAGAACAAAAGTTTTACCACATTACTATTGAGATTCTTATAAAAGGAAAAATGCAATGGAGGAAGAAAACATTAAAGCAAAAAAGCTAAAGCATTTCAGATGCCAGTCCCAGTCAGCCATGGAGTTCCAGTGCACCAAAGAAAATTATATTATCCTGAAATGTGAAACCTAATGTTTGAAAGCTAAGTAGGGTGGGAAAAATGAAGTGGCAAATTTTCAAACTGACAAATATCAGTCATCTTTCAGACCAAGCAAAGTTAAACAACACACAGGTAGTATTTATGCTGTTAAGATAGTCTAAATTTAAAGAGATACATTTTTTTAAAAATCTGATATTGAAAGATTTGTAGATTCAAGTAAGATTATTTATACAGCTAGAAAAAATGTAATGTTTCCTCTTCATTTTTTGTGTTTTTCTTCAAGAGAACATATTTGAATTCCTAACTCACACAAATTATTACAAAGACTAACAGAAGTGAACTGGAGGCTCTCAATATGGTTATTTGATCAGTCTTCTGAGAAAGAACCTCCACCAGCAAACATAAAATAAAGAAATCTTCTGAAAGCTGATGTGTTTTAGCTGCAGCCACACCGCACTCCTTCCCTGAATACACTCTCCGAAGTGGTCCAACAAAATTTTATCATAGATACAATAAAATTATTGAAAGAATACTTACGATTTAGTTACAAGACACTACCCAGCAATCATCGTACATCATCTATCCTGTACTCTTGATCTCTCAAGAAGCCACAGTGAGGAGAGGAAGAAATGAGAAGGTAAAGATAAGGAAGGTAGGCAACATTCATGCAACTCTTCTCCTCCCCCAAAATGCTTCTCTGAATTTTTCCTATTGAAAGTCCATTGATGATGTAGTATATAACACATATTTTATAATTTCGATGTCGAATCACGTAAATTTTCACTCAACACATCTGAATATATATAAATCCCTGAGATGTAGATCCACATCTGTAGCATCAAGTTAGGTAGTCAGGTGGCTCACACTGAAAGGTGTGATCACAGTGAAATAGGCAATGAAGCCTGAAAATGTTCCAACTTCCAGCAAGGATGTCCACTTCGTCCTATTACCAGTGCCCTCTATTCAGTCCTGACACAGCATTATCCTAAGACAGCAGTACCTTCAATTTTACCCTGCCCTACTGTTGCATGTATTTTACAGTAAATATTCAAGTCCTGTATAAAGAATCTACTTCTGAAAAGATGTTCATGAGACATCTCCAATAAGGCCTGTTTAACCACACACACGTAACTACTTATTCGCAGACAAGTAGCAAAAATTGCCCTTAATTCCAGATGTTAAGTTTCTTATTACAATTCCTGAAGATTTAATAATGGCACATAGAGAATTATCATCCACTAGCATTAGTAAAGTAAATTTATTCAGGATGGGCAGGTGTTCTTTAAAGGGGTAAACTGACAAAACATTACAAATGAAAGATGCAAATATGATTTTAATGAGCTTTCCAAAAGCTGGATGTTGGGTATCTAAGGACTTTTAAAATTACAAGCCAATCCATACAAAAAGAGCTTTAAAAACATGGTGCAAAACCCCTTCTGTCTGCAATGCAGTGCTTAACATTTGGCCAAACTATCACAGAGAAACTTTAGACAGTAAGATGAAGGAGCTCTGACAGGTATGAGATAACAAGAACAATACAGTTGGATAGTAGACCTACTTTGAGTGGTTTAAAATCCCCAGGGAGAAAACTTAATGAAAAGTTTTGATATTACCTGTGGAATTAAAATATGTGTCTATATACATGTGTGACGTACATATATGTGTGTTCATATGAGCTTGTGCTTTTACAATTGAAAGTTAATATAATAATTATAGAACTATAAAGTTAGAAGTTCACATAGAATGAGTACCATTAAACCTTACTGTTCAATATTACTTACACAAGTATAAATCACGTGAAGTTAAATGAAATTCTACATTCATATTTTAAATACAGAAGACAATGTTGTTCATATTTAAAAACTGTGCTTTGTATTTTATCACCTGCACGTGAATAGTTACAAAATGTTAACAATAAAGTTACACTAAAATCGAGTAAAATTAAAAAATAACATTTTGTTCTACAGACTTCAGCCATCTAGTTTTTATCTGTTTAAATAAAAACTTCAAAACATGAATATGACACCTACATCTAGCCTCTCTATTGCCTGGAAATCAACACACCTGAAAGGATGGAATACTGAAAGAAGTTAGTTTCATTCTGCATCATCTACTGAGAGGAGGTGGTCAAAGATTTTTATAAGTGGGAGAAGAGTATTTAAAAGGGACTCAGCAGACAGAATGGTACCCCAGGAGTCCTACAGAAGTGCACAACCAGGAGCTGAGTACTATCCACAAGGTAGGCTTTTTTGGTTTTCATTACTGATTTTTCTAGATGAAATTAATTTACTCATTTCATTTTTTCCTTTCTGCTTTACTACTGTAACACAAAATGAGAAAACAAAATCTGACTAAAATACAACCTTACATTTAGGAGCAACTGCTTTAAATCATGTTACGAGTTATAGGTAACAAGGTTACAGGTTACTACACAGCAAACTACTGGGGGAAAAAAATCTAACTTTAATTCATTATTAGTAGGCAATAGTTTACATTTAGTCAAATTTCCTACAGCAAATAATGTCAGTTTTCTGGACACTGTATATGTTTATCCATATAGAAACGTAAGAGAAAGTATTTCAGAAAAACAGAATAGGATTTTAAAAAAGAAAAACATACATGCAACCCTTTACATATTATATGAATAATACAAAAAAGGTTTTCTTATACAATTTTTTTCTCTTTATACATTGGATAAATGTATTCAATTTTTAAATGTCCCACCATAAAATCAGAACTCTTAGGCCTATCACAGTACATTAGTAAATACAGAGCGTAAGTTAACAAGCAGAAGCAAATGATTGGGTACCCTTGTGTGACTTAACAAAACTGTAAAACCATCCTGATTCTATTAAGCCTTCTGTCTTCTTCTAGTTCCAGAACTAGAAAATGTATTGCCCCAGGAGCTGTTTCTTCCTCTTAACTGCCTGCCTTATTGCTGCATCCCTTGGTAACCACCAACGCAACAGCCACCAACGGTGCTTCGAAAGTGTGCAGTGGAGTGAGCTTTTACAGGAGATTGAGGAGCTGGTAAGTCCAAGTGTAAAACACTGTCACAATCTATAGACGTCGTTTTCCACCTTTCTTCAGTTTAGGTGTAAGGAATTCTCAAATGTGTAGTAACTGCCTGTGTACAGGGGTTTTTTACATAATTAAAAAGTTATGAGTCAGATGCCCCCTCTCTACAAAGCCCAAAATCTTAAATTTAGGCTTTTTAATTCACACTCATCCCATTGAATATATGACATTTGTGTGTCTTGCCAAGAAGAGCTCCACATCCTCCCCAGAGCACTCATATATTTTAGAGGACAGTCATCCGGGATTCCCACTAATTGGCACCATCTGAAACTATAACACTGTAGTTTCCTTTACCATAACATAATCCCATTGAAAGGAAAGGACATCCACAGTTTGGTACAAATACTCTCTGAAGGTGTTTTTGAAATCTGCTATGTGGAAAGCATGTTTCCTTTCCCAATTTGGCTTCTTTTGGGGCCTGCCCTTTCCTCAGCACAGTACATATAGAGATCCCTGGAAAATTTGAGGAAAGGTGAAACAGGTAACAAGGAGCTATTTTTTTCCATTTTAGATAGACTTGGGAACATACAAGCAAATGAATCCTCTACACACAAACTCATGAGATACAATGTCCTCTGTCGATGTAGTCACTTGAACATTGTTTGTTAAGAAGCCAATCGAAAAGTGACTCTAGTATGAATTGTTTCCATAGTAAACTTCATTTTGCACATGCTTAAAGTTTCTACATTGATGTTTTCTTTAAGAACAAGAGAGGTTTTTCTTTGGAGTGTGAGGAAGTGAGCAACGAGGATTTGTGTTTCCCCGAGCAGATGCTGAAAACAGTAAGTAGAAAAATATATGAAATTGGTAATATCTCATTGTAGCAGCTCTACCTCACACAGCCCATGCACCTTGTCATGAGATTTCTACACTAGAATTATGCCATACTATAGTACAGGTTTAAATGATAAATCTGACTGTCGACTTTTCCGTATAAGTTCTTTTCCCTGACAGGCTATTTATTGAAATCACAGTTTTTTATCTTTTCCTATTATTTAAGTCAGGATGCCACTTTTACAAGAATAAAGGCTATATGTTTTCTTGTTAGTCCTGCTGTTCAAAGGGGGAAATTAGTTGGAATCAATCTGGTAGCCCGGAAACTACAAGAACAGCATGACAATCTCAGTTTCAGTCAGAAGCAGATGCCATAAAGGCAGGGCAGGGGTAATTTTATGTACTGCTCAGCACATACATGCACTTCGTGTGCACAGTTCACTTTCAGTCCAGGTCTGCAATGCCACAAAATAAGAAGGTACTCGTTGAGAGTGTGATACTGCACCCCAGCAACTCATTTAGCTCGATTCCAGCTCATCTCTTCAAGGGAGGTTCTAAAACGCACCCAGGGAACAGAAGGGACAGACAATATCGGCCTCTCTTGTACTTCCTCTTCTCTGAGGTAGAGGGAGCTCCCCTTCATCAGATATGGAGTGTGCTGGGAGGAAAGACTTGCACAGTCTCTTGTCCTGGCTCTGAATTCAAAAGATCTGCATTTGACTCTTGGCTTTTTATTGACTATTAGTTACACACTGCACATATCTAAGCATATAAATGCAGCCCAAAAATGAAAGATACATTTACATTACAAAATAAGGGTCCACCTTATGAAAGCAACTTGAAAAGTCTGGAATTGAAGCAATTTATGAGTTGCAACTGGAAATCGAACATACAATTCCCGATTTTCAAAGAAATACTGTCTTTGCAACGCATATTACTAGCTATAATGTTTTCTACTAAAAGAATTAGAAAAGCACAAAACCGTGGTGAAAATTGTTTAAGAACTTATGATAACCAGACTCAGGTAGTTGAAAAATTAACTGACATTTAAGCACAAACTTCAGAAACCAAATTTCTCTATACTTATTTTTGGTCATCACAGGTTAAATATGATACTGCAGCCATTGTTCATATAGTGCATGAAATTGCTGAGTTTTTCAAGAGAGCAGACACTCCTTTTCAAGATAAGAACACTTTTCTAAGAGGAATGTATGAGGCTTACGCTCAGCTCAAGACTTGTGTAAGTATAATTTTTTTTATTTACACTGTATGATATTCAAGTCAGATAGTCATGGTGAATAAAACTGATAATATGTATGCTGAAAATGCAGTAGAAAACCTGAAAGACTACATTTTCAAATAGTGATACCTAAACATCTTTCTGCAAGTAATTACAGGTATCTTTCAGGACTTTTACTGACCTCTATGATACAGGCAATTTTAAATTCCCTCATTTTATTTATGAGTTTATTTTGAGAAGCGATGCCTAAAAAGCCAGTACTGAACTTGCTTCTTCCTAAAGATTGCACTAGTTCTACACAGAAATACTTATTCTCACTCAATATGAATTTCATGTGCTTTTCTTTAAGTACTTATGACTCCTGTCAAGACAAGTTAACATAAAGAATTACATGCAAACTGTAGGCAAAACACTTCAGGAAAATATTAGATTTGCATTCAGCCTATTTCAGCTGAGTAAACTACTTAAACATATGCACAAATAGTTAATTCAGTTGGGGTCAGCTTAAGAACTACTTACAGAGGACAAAGCCTCAGATTTACTGTAGCTTCCCTAATGCCTGTGCCAGGCACCAGATTTGCTAAGAAACCTGCAGGAGAACAAACTTGGATATATAAATGTAGAGTCTACTGTACCCTTCTGTGTTGCTGTGGAGGGAACCTGCTGCACTGTTCTATAGGGGAGGGAGGTTTCCATGACTGGACATTTGCCTGAGCAGGAGCATCATATAAGCACTGAACTAAAAAACCCACGCTGCTGCTTCTGACTAGGCCAGGCCCCAGGACTAGATGTGTACAAGAGTGGGCAATAACTAGTTCTTAATATTTAAAAATATATATATATATATACACATGACAGGCATATGCACATCAATAATTCTTTTTTTTTAACTGATTGAACATAATCCCATTGGTACATCCATAACATCTCATGTCAATGACCACCAGGTATTCTGAAATCCATTTCCTTCAAAGACAGCATACATAAACAAGACCAGTATTTGTCACAAAACAAAAAAATCCATAAACCCTTACCTTGCTTTGAACATTGATATATTCATTTCCTGATCTCTCTGTAAACACAGCAAGTGTGTGCTACACTACCTTTAGCATTAACACATTCAGCAGGATTGCATATGGCAGCAGAATTACAATGCTCTCAGTCAAGGATTGTATCTATCACAGAGCAGTGTTTGAACTTCTATTTACTGTTCAAACTAACAGTTTCTCTTCCATTAAAATAACAGCTGAAGCCCAGACTTAACATTATCCATGAATCTATAGTGAAAGAGTGCTTCGAAAAAATGGATAAATTTGTGGCCAAGGTAAGTAGGCTGTTTCTTTACTTTCAGTTCAGTTTTAGGAATTTTAAAGATAAAGAGCAGCTTCTTATAGAAGCAGCAGTCCCACTGCTGATCAGAGCTGAATGAATCCGTGAGATTGTGCCAGATTACCTCACACTGTGGATTTTCACTCACACAAAATCTTTTGGTCCACATCCATTTCAGGGTCAATGTATCATTTAAAAAAAAAAAATATATAATTCAGCACCATAACCCTTTGGCACATAAAGTCTGTGCCTTTTTAGAAAAACTTAACCTCACATGGTTCAGGACTAGCCATGCATGTGATGATGGAAAAGCAATGATCATCGCATATACCAAAGAATATTTGTATTTTAGCTAGACTTCCTAAAATTAATCTTTTTTCTTAAATTTAAATAAATTATTACATACTTGTTCTCAATTCACATTTTGCTTCCCATAATATTGGATGTTATTTTTTATGAAACAGTTAATAAACACCTCTTAATAACCTTTTCTTCAGTCAAATGACCACTGCGTTTGGCAAGAGATCCATGCACTGTCCAGAGAGATACTCCAAAGAATTGAAAACTACTCCTTCAAGAGAAGAGCAACACATTAGCAAAGTCAGTTTCCATCCCATACTTCGAGGATCTACTATCATGTCAAGATCTAAAAATTAAAGGAAGACGCAAACAGTTTGCATTTAGGACTATAAATAAGTTAATTTATTTTTGTCAAGATATTTTTCTAGACTACTATAAAAACTTAAGCCTTAATAAAAATGAAGCAAAAGAGTATGCCAATGTTTGTGTTTATTTGTTTTACAAAAAAAAAGGAAACATTTTTCATAAAATAGGTATCATAGATATGGCCCTCCAAATCTTGTTTTCAAGCTGAGTACATTCATCAAGTTATGGGAATACAAACCTCTGACAGTCTAATGCTTTTCCAATGTCCATCTCATACCACTCATTTGCACTCTTGCACTTTTACCACTGCAGCTACAAGGCTCCCTGGCCTTTCACGTGTGAAAAGTTATGCCTGTTTCCACAATGCCACACTGCCAGGCCTCCACAGCCATTCAGAAATTCCGAGTTTCAGTTTGGTCATCCAGATGTAAATATTACATATGTATATGTGTTTTTTTAAAAAAACAACAAAACAAACAAACAAAAATCTCTACATCCTATGGTACAGACAAGACTCCAAACAGCAAAACACCTTTAAATGCTTACATGGTATCTAATAGGCACTGGCAGCACTGCATACTGGCACATTTTTCCAAACAGCTCACTGATTATTTGAAAGCCTGTAAAAGAAGATAACATCTATGAAGCTGACAGTTTTGAAGGAGAGAAACGAGGGATACAGCAAATGAACAGTGTTTTATAACATCTTTTAGTGGTGAGATAAGCCTTACTCCCGCGGTTCTTGATTTCTAGGCACTGGTTTTCAACCTGTCTCTTCAGAGAAACAGAGATGTTATAACAAATCTTTTGAAAAAGATTCTAATATTCATACTTAATTTAGAGTGCTTAAGAATGAAAGAGTAAAAATATTCGTAATACCATTCGTGTGTCAATTTCTTACCATTCTTGAACATAGGACATCAGTTTTGTTTGGGTTTTTTTTTAAATCTGGTTTGAGTCTTTACAGCCAGCCTAGCACCTCACTGCAGTATGACATTCCCAAACCCAAATGATTCCCTTAGCTCTCCTTTCAAAAAATGGCTTTGGGAAAAAAAACCCAAACAAAACCTTTATGCTTTACAAAGAAAAATAAGAGTAACCACTTAACCAATATTAACCCTTTTAGTTCTATCCCTTTCTCACCACGTTTAACAACAAACACAGCTGTGTTGTTTCATGGCACATTCATTATACTGCCTCATTCATGCATCATCTGAATTGGAAACTGTTCACTCAGTTGAGACCTGATCAGTGTGCAGAGAGTGCAGACAGTCTTCCAGCTGTAAAAAATAATCCCTTGAAGTTGCACAGTAATCAGTACAAGAATCAAAGATCTTCCATGAATAAATTCAACTAAGGCAAATGATAAATTAAAATAATGAACAGAATTCCCATGTCTTTGAACCAAGGAAGTGCTTTTGCACCCACTGCACAGCACTCTAAGGCAGACATTGGTATATATTAGTGTGGTTTGGATATGGATCTGACCTTTCTATCATAACCAGTACAGTGCCAGTTTATCTATACTGATAGCATTAAATATCTAAAAAGAAAATAATAATTAAAAAGGTAATTACCGTTACCTTTCCAATGTGTTCCCTTGAATATAGTTCCATTTAAAATATATGCATATTTATTCCTTAACATGTAGACATCTGTAAACTGAGTTTTGGTAGGATCATTATGCTAATACATCTGTCTAAGTATTTATTTTAATAATAGTTGTAACCTATTTTAATCAGATTGGAAAGTACACCAATTATTTAAAGTATTCAATGCAGAAAATATAAGCAGACAAAAACAACTTTGCAAAAATAAAGGAGTGAAGAGATGCACTGGGCTTTCAAGTGACAGCTAGTGACTCATTTGATGAATGCATCATTTTTACAGTGTCTATCCCAACCTCTTGCCATAGAGGAAGACTGAATAGTATTAGGAAGTTTTTAGGTGTCTAGCAGTGATACTGTGCATTTCAAATAGAAGCCAAGGACAGAAATTTTAATTCCTGCTGGAAAAGTTGGCAACCTTCTTATATGTTCAATGAATAAAACAATCTGTGCTCTCTTCACAGGAATATATTTTTCTGTGTATTCACAGATATGTGGGAAAAGCATTATTAAAGAAAAATATATTACACTAAGACATCTCTTATCTTCTGTTGTTATCTTGGGGGATAACAATCACAAATCATGGCCACACTCCACTCTGTATGCCAGACAGCAACAAAAAATTTGGACTAGCAGGTATAAGGCCTCCATTAGGGACCATTCCAAGGACATCTCTCTCTAGTACAGGGTAGTACAAAAATACCTGAGCTAGGTTTAAAACACTTGGCTATAACATGATAAAAACTGAGGCCAGAGCTCATTGTATCAGTTCTTGACTTAGGATGTGAAGTAGCCTTGATTTTATACAAGAAAAATGCAACATGAGTCAAAAAATACCAGTGCATACATAGCTTGCTATAATGAGCAGTTTATTCAAATATTTTTTTCCTGAAAAACTGCATTAGAATTGCTAAAAGTCTCTATGCTTTGGGAAAAAAGGACAGAAGTTATTCAGCATCTTCTAAAACACTAGTTGTTTATTGAGAAAAAAAGAGGAAGGTTGGAAGAGAATTATTTTTAAAAGCAAGATAAATAAAAACATGAAAAAATGTTGATGTTAAACAGCCTACACTTTTTCTCAGAAAGTTGTAGATACATGATTAAATATACATTGTCTTATTTATCATATTTTTGGGAAGTATTTCAACATGAAAGTTGAAATACACTATGAAACAGAACCTTTTGGAATAGATTTATTTCTTTCCTCCATTTGAAGTCACTAGGATGCACAAGTTGAAAAATACAACTATTTTAGTCCAGCAAATATGACTTTATCTGCCAAGTGGAATTTGTAATAACAAAATTTAAGAATAGTTTCTTGTACCAGTTGAGTATTCGTACAGAAAATTTCACCTTAAAATTATCTGTGTAAAACCTCATTCCTGAGCAGTAGCCTTGATAATTACAAGATGTGTGTATATCCTCAGATGTAGCAAATACAATCTTTTAATTAAAGACCATTTTTCAAGGGACAATACTGTCAATACTACATTGTATTAAATACCATTTTTACTGAGACCAGATTTATTAATGAGTCTCTAATTCCAAGCTGTGGAAGAGACAAGAGAGTGGTCACTCTTTCCAACACACATGCAGATCCATGATGACTTTGGAGGTTTGCATGACTGCATTCTTATTTCCATAGGCTTTTCCCAACATTATACAATGTAATTTGATTTTAAAATCTTCCCCAGTCTGTATCAGATAACCAATACCACATTAAAAGTCTGGTGGTACCCTCCTTATAGCCTGAACTAATTAATTTAATGAAGCACATAACATAGCTTGGCTTGTGGCTCAGATTCAGTGCATATATTTTAGTGTATCCAATATGGTAAGCGCCTGTAGCTGTCCTTGACCCAGCTATTACTCAGGATAAAAGAACCTGGTGGCAAGCACATGTGAAAATGGAGATATTTATGTTATTAGCATATGACAAACCAAATATACACTGGTCATTTAAAGTCTGAAGTTTCAAAAGATTCCATTTGCACAGAGGTATCTCAACAGAGACACGGAAGAGCAGCATGAGACAAAGTCATGAATGGGAGAATTCTGCTTACTGGTGATTTTATCCAGCTATGGCAACTGAGCTGTTCAGGCAACACAGGAAAACAGTAGTGCATCAGCTTAACATGAACTCACAGCCGAAAACAAGAAGAAATGAGTGCCACAAATCAGCTTCTAGACTTTAATGAGAATACATGGCTTTCAGTTTAATCAGAGCTAACCACAACATAGGAAGAAAGCAGCCCCACATTGACATTTTATGTGATCTTCACTCTGAGACATAAGAGAAAAAACCTTGCTACAGCAAGGCCTGTTGCACGCCGGGGAAGCTATTTGTAGCTAATAAGAAAAAAATACCTGCCCTGAACTATACTCCAGAGAATTCTCCTTCTTCCCTGATCATAATAGAGAGCTTTCCATTTAGCTTAAGCTTGTATGAGTCAAGAGTCCACACTGAGTATAAAAACCCTAACACTTTATGGTGCTTTGATGAAGGGATAATTTTGTATTGTTTTATTGGACTTTGTCAACAACACAGTCTTCATGTGACAACCTTATTGCTGTAATCATCCTAAGCCTAGGTGTTTAGTTTGATTTAGACAATTCTAAAATATTTATAGAAAAAGATGTTAAGGATTTTATAACAACCATGTTTCTCCTTCCAATTTACTTTTACTACTTCATCCACTGTGATGATACAACATTACTAAATTTCCACTTCTTGAAAGTCCAGTATAAGTTAATAGCCCCATTGTCTGTAGTTCCTTTCGAATATCAAAATGTTTCTTTCTAATAGAAATTGTTCACAGACAACACTCTTTTTGACAAATGGAACAGCAGTTCTGCAATAAAGAGGTTGCACTTTATGATAAAAGCTCTTTTTCTTTCCTATTGCGTTTTTATATTGTTTTTATATCCTCTCCATCTTACTTCCTGCTTCACACACATTTTCCCTGCATGTGCTACAATTGAACATTAGAAAAACCCAGAAATGTCTTGCTGAGATACCAAATCCTTTCCGAAGTAAGGCTTTCCTTGCAGCATGAAGGCCTGAAAATATTTCTGTCATCAATGATCTGAGTTTATAAGACACTGACCAGTTTACCTGCAACCCCAGCTTTCTCCTCTAGAGAAAGGGCAGGTCTAACACAGAAGATCATGTTTGACCTTTGTGCAGCACAGCGGATTCACGACAGACTCAAACTTGAAACTGCCATGGACACTCAGCTCCCAGTGTCTCTACTGATAAAATTACACAGACAAGACTTCAAGAACTGTCTGGACACAAAATCCTGTGCTAAGTGCTCTAGGATGACCCTGCTTGAGCAGAGAGGCTGGACCAGATGACCCCACAGATGGTCCCTTCCAATGCTACCCATTCTGTGATTTTGTGACTTCCCTCTCTTGTCACGGAGCTCTTAATGTTGTTGGATAGAGCAAATTATTACCTCAGATACTGCTTTTGATATCTAAGCACAGTCCATCTTTTTGTTTTGTGGATCACTTCTGCCTCTTAAGAAACAATGTAGATAATCCAGGTAAAGCTGCCAGTGAATATTATACATTACAGATAAATAATGAAAATACTAATTATTTACATTTCTAATATAAGCAATAGACTGTTCTAAGTTTCTAGTAAGTTAAAATTCAAATATGGCCCTGTGAATGTGAAGAGAGGGAGAAGTTTAATTGTGTTCAATGTATTTATTTTTTAAATGGCTAGATCTAGCTCCAAAACATGAATTATTAATAAAACCAAAACACTATACCACTTCAACTAAACTGTCATATGGTACTTTCTTACAAGTGAATTCTTTATTTCTTGTCAAAGAAATTTTCTTATTAAACTCTCCTGTCCTGAAAGAGAAAACTAAATGAAACCTTTATTTTTAAGTACAATATCTATGTGGAAAAATTATTCGAAGTTATTTTGAAAACTACTTCAAGACTGCCTTACATCTGATATCTCATGCAAATGAAGTTTAACTTGAAGGCGTAACCCA